ATAACCCCTCATTTTATCTGCCAAACTTCCATAGCGAATCAAAACAAACATTGCCTAGTACTAGAATTACGACTAGAATGGTACGTTAATCGTTTGCTTGGGACCAATAGGGTAGTCAAGTAGTGAGCCAATTTAAAATCGTTAGTTTCGTATTGATTGTTGATAATAGTCTCTTTCTTGCGCAAAAAAGAGATAACCGACGGGTTAACCTCCATATCATTCAGAATACACCTATCACCAAAAGCATTCAACTGACGTCGAAGGAAGCAACAGCCTTCAATTCAGCGAATTCGAAGAAAGAGTTTAAGGTCATCTGCGTAAGTTAATCGTGGTCCCTCAATTACTAGATTCACGTCGTTGAAGTAAATCAGGAAAATCAGCGGTCCCAGCGGTGACTACCGTTGGGTATGTCGGACGTGGCAGCGAACATACGGGACTGGTGATCACCAGTGACAACAGTAAGATAGCGATCGGTGAGGTACTGAAACCATAGCAAAAGGCTGCCGTGGATACCAAGCCTGTCCAGAGAGCATCCAGAACCATGTAGAGCGGTAGGAATGCTGACCAGTGTAGCCGAAACCCGAAAAACGTAGAAGTTCATTAGGAGCGTAGTATTTCTGACTTCGATCAAACATATACCAGTATATGTCACCTGACAAAATAACTGACATTTCTACCAGAACTTGTAGCTAGTTTGTGAGCCGAAGAGCATGTAACTAGAACCATGTGGATCTCTTGGAATGCTGAACAGTGTAGCCGGAACCCGAATGATGGACAAGCTGTTCAATGATGGTGACAGCGATGAGACCATAGATGGTGCGAATTCTTGCAGCTCGTTGGAGAGCATGGATGAACTATGTGGGTTTGAATTTGGAATTTGAACTTGTAGTAACCCTATCAGCATTAGAAAAATGTGTTCCTCCTGCGTCTCTTCTTTTTCTTAAGTCCTGAATTCAATTTCGGGCTCTGTTCCGCAATCTAGTGCCAATCACCGACGGACATCGATTTCCATCTATTGACGACAATCGACTGTGCAGGGAGGCGAACAGGGTGGCAGATTCCACACCTGAAGCCTGATACGTAACTGAAAAGAAAACGAAACAGCTATAGGGAGGTGTCTTTTGCTGAATTTTGAGATTATAGCAAGGTGTCGTCAAATTTAAAAAATCAAAAATTATTAGTGTTTATGTTATTAAAATGCATCCAAAACATCAGTTTTGCAATAAACGCCAACATTACCTAACGGTATAATTGATCAGATCATTATTCCGTAAGGAAAGTGAAATTACATTCAGAATGCGCCACCTTCATGTCGATCACGATACTAACATAGAGGTAACTCTAAGACCACTGGGTCCCGAAGAAAATCATTGTTATTTTTGGCTCACTCAGTACCAGAACAACGGTCCCAAGCAGTCCCAAGCTATTTCACTCACCCCTGCATGTTCTGCATGAATCCACACACCCCTGATGTTATCTGTCAAACTTTCATAGCGAATCAAAACAAACATAGTGTAGTAATAGAATTTCAACTAGAATAGGGTACGTTAATCGTTTGCTTGGGACCAATAGGCTACTAAAGTGGTGAGCCAATTTAAAATCGTTAGTTTCGTATTGATTGTTGCTTCTAGTCTTAGAGTTACTTCTAAGGCTTTACTTCCTTTAAATTTTAACTAGATGCCACCAATTAATTATCATTGTAACATACACCACGCAAACGCATAGGGACACTAGGGAAAAATCCGACGATAGTCCGCAAAACTCTAGCCATTTTTTTGCGAAGCTAAGCGTTTTTCGGAAACCCGAAAAAAAACCCCGATAATAAACAAATCCGCTATTAGTTTGAGCATACACGGGAAAAATTCCGATTCCATTTTCATGAATAAAAATCATAAAATGAAAAAAAACTTGCCATCCCATGAAATCATAACAATGATTCATGATTTAGTGATGGAAATTCATGATTTCATAATGCAGCGTTACCTGTCAAACCGTGTTGACCACACTACATACACTCACATTGTTACATTTCGTTGTACTTCCGCGACCACGGTTAGGACAAAACTTGGCCAAAATAGGTCTCCAATTCACTAAGAATTCAAACAACGTAAACAAACAAACTCGTAGCGTAGACAACGGTAAAGTTCCGCACAAAGCTGGAACATTTTGCTCCGCGGCAAGTGTTGGCAGCTTTTGTAAACAAAAAAAATCACGTGTCCAAATCGTCTGCTAATATTTTCACGAATCTCTGTATATAGGATTACTAAGTCAAACGATCTTGATTTTGTGTACTCTTTTTCTTACCGTGTACGCTGCCATGCCATCGGTGAGATGAGACAGGCTGCCAGAAAAATGCAGCTTCTGCTCATTCCATTTGACATGGTTGTTCTGACGAGGCAAGGCAATGCGTGTGGGTTGTTTTATCAACGTCGAGACATCATTGTGGCTAGGTGACAGGTATTATGAGGAATTGTGTATTCAGAGGAAAATCAGCATTTGGCGTCAGTTTATTTAAAAACCGCAGCTTTAATAGCATGCATGAAATTTCAAAATAGAAATAAAGACGCGATAAAGATTTTTTTTTTTGAAGCGGTAAACTTGGGAGAGCGATTTATTGTAAGCTTATGAAACATTGGGAGGCCGCCTAATGACGGATCATTCGGACAAGATCCCTTCCATTAATTTGCTTAAATTTTATTTAATCTTTACCAAATATCGTTTGAAAAAAATAATTAAAGAACTTGGCTAGCTTGATGGCTGCGGCTTCTGCTTACTGAATAAAAGATCGTCGTCCTAATTTTGATCGGAAATCCATATAAATCCTTCCCAAGAGCAGTTGTTGTCGTCGTCGGTGTGGTGTGGCCGCCGGGACCGAAATCTACTAACAGCAAGTTGAACGGGAACTAGGTCGTAATTGTTCTATGAAATAAGGAGCTCGGTGGCCTTGTGGCAACCGATTTTGCTTACTGAGCAGAAAATTATGGGTTCCATTGCAAGCTTCTTCACATTATAGAGTTTCAGTGTAAATCGGATTTATTCTTATTTTGAGATTAGGCACGATGAAATTCGGTTGGAGGGACGGGTACGTAAAAGAAGTAATATTTGAGCTTTAGGAAGGACGTGTCATTCGGAAATCCATACCAAATCTTTCCCAAGAGCAGTTGTTGTCGGCGTTGGTGAGGTCACCGCTGGGATCGTAGTAACCTAGTAACAACAAGTTGAACGGAAACTTGATCGTAATTGTTTGCTTTTTAGACAGACAGACAGACAGACAGACAGACAGACAGACAGACAGACAGACAGACAGACAGACAGACAGACAGACAGACAGACAGACAGACAGACAGACAGACAGACAGACAGACAGACAGACAGACAGACAGACAGACAGACAGACAGACAGACAGACAGACAGACAGACAGACAGACAGACAGACAGACAGACAGACAGACAGACAGACAGACAGACAGACAGACAGACAGACAGACAGACAGACAGACAGACAGACAGACAGACAGACAGACAGACAGACAGACAGACAGACAGACAGACAGACAGACAGACAGACAGACAGACAGACAGACAGACAGACAGACAGACAGACAGACAGACAGACAGACAGACAGACAGACAGACAGACAGACAGACAGACAGACAGACAGACAGACAGACAGACAGACAGACAGACAGACAGACAGACAGACAGACAGACAGACAGACAGACAGACAGACAGACAGACAGACAGACAGACAGACAGACAGACAGACAGACAGACAGACAGACAGACAGACAGACAGACAGACAGACAGACAGACAGACAGACAGACAGACAGACAGACAGACAGACAGACAGACAGACAGACAGACAGACAGACAGACAGACAGACAGACAGACAGACAGACAGACAGACAGACAGACAGTTTCATCGCGTTGTTAACAACGCAGAACTTTTTATTTAATTTTATTACCAATGCTTAATCCCTACCGGTCCTTTAATCGATTATAGATTATTCGAATGAAAGTCGGACATTACTAGATGAATGTAAAACGTGATTTCAAGTATAATGAACCGGGGCTAATCACAGATTACGTTCCCACGGTAACTGAAACAGTATTGCTATTAATTGTGGACGAGTTTTTCAAAAATGAAAACAATTTAATCGCTATTACGGAGACGGCAATAATTGAGGACGAAGAGGAGGCCAAGCGGTTGGTGTTCTGAAGAACAGCCTATCACTCTATCACTACTCACTCACTCGTCCATCATTCACTCACCCACAAAATCATCCTCCCACTTCCCATGTATCAATCCCCTGTAGGACGAAAGTCGCTCTAGTCTAGCTTATCAATAACCACCCACCCATACAAGATTGATCCATTGTTGGCTGATATCCACTGTCACAAACAATTAATATCGCGGAAATAATAAAAAAAAAAACAACTCATCCCCTTAACACCAAATACAGTAGTCCCTCCACCTATGCGGTGGGCTGTACCGTCCACCCACCGCTGTTTCTATTGACGTAAATGCATATTGGTAATCTGCATTAAAAATGGATCCGAATCCAAAATTTCATAAATTTATACAACAGTCAGTTGTTCGTTTAGTGACAAACATGGATGGGATCGAAGAAATATTGTTGTACTCAGAAAACGAAGCTCTTTCAAATGATGTATAAATAATAACCGATATATTTATCAAAATTAAAGATCTCAATTACGCTGCTATTTTGCATGTGATTAGTGTGTCAACCATAAACGAATTATCAACAGAAAATAAGCTCAATTGGCGAAAGAGTGGATGGTACCACCGTACCACCCATAGCATAAATGAAGGGATTACTGTACGTCAACGCCATAAAATCAAGACAGCAACATCACAGGATGAAACCGGATGAAACCAATCGGACGTGGTAAGGTAAAATGGTATCACAAGCCTCCCACCCTGAGGGTGAACTGGCCCCACGCCGTTATGGACGGGAATGGATAAAACCTACCTGTCGATCTCCGCTGTGCTGCGTTCGGCGTCTGTACCCCGTTCGGTACGTTCTGCCTCCGCCAGGGCCGTCGACACTTCATCGCATAGGAACCGTACACCAGCGGGTTCATGCACGAGTTTGACACGGCCATCAGAAACAACCCATCCTGGATGGCGCCGTCTACTTTGAGAGCACTTTCCCGGTCGAACATGTACCTGTAGAAGGGAGAGATAAACTGTTTAATACGACGATCTGTTGCAGAAATTACATGCTTTACGTACTAAATTGTGCATGCGCTGTGCTGTCAGATATATTATTGATTGAAAATTTTCCGTATGCGCTTCGCAAACGGCGGTCTACATGGTCCCAACATGTATATTGCACTGTAGTTTTTGACATGAACTATCATGATCTATATAATTTAACAGAATCTCCTAATACCATCGACGGACATTCAGAGCAGTACCGTTGTACTGCCTTGTACCTCAACAAGTACAATTTGATGTATTAGCTTAAAGTGCTACAACCATAGAGGTAACTCTAAGACCAGAAGGTCCCGAAGCAACGTGCTCAACTTTTTTGGTTCAGCTCTGGTACTCTTTTCGGTCCCAAGCTAATCGATTCACCCCTCGAAACATAGGAAAATCCACGAACCCCTCATTTTATCTGTCAAACTTTATAGCGAATCAAAATAAACATAGTGTTGTACTAGAATTTCGACTAGAATGGGGTACGTTAATCGATTTGCTTGGGACCAATAGGCTAGTCAAGTAGTGAGCCAATTTAAAATCGTTAGTATTCACCGGTTGGTTTTACCCGCTGTACTACCAGTCATAGAGAGCAAAAAAACAAATTTGAGAGAGAAAATTCGCTCTTACGAGCTCAATCTCTCAGCATGTTTTTTTTTTTTTTTTTTCTTTATTTTTGTGATTTTTAGCCGTAGGCTAGTTCATCACATTTCTCAGCATGTAACATTGATAGTTTTTTAAGTGTATTCTATATATTTTTTTAACAATGAATGTTTTTCAAATTTAATTTTTTTAAACAACTACTGAGGATTCTTTAGTATTATGTCGAACGGAAAATAAAGCATTTGCACTATTTTTTTTAGTGTTGTGACCGAACATCGGTATTTTGATTTGGGATTACTTTGATAATGCTCGATGACTGTTGAAAAAAAATGCGTGAAACTCAGTCAGCCAGACAGTTTAGTTATTGAAATATGATTTTTGATCAAGGTATTTTAGTGTCGTTCTGAATAATAACATATACTTATTATGTGTCAAAGTAGTCGTAACAATTAATAAATTAAATTAAACGTCCGGATTAACGAACCGTCCTGTATTCGGTGCATTACGGTACCATATATTTTGCGCGTGGAACTTCCCTTCGACAAGCAAACGCAAAGCAAACAAGCAAAATAAAAACAATTGAACCATTAGGCTTACCAGAGTGTCATCACGACGTACGGTGTCCAGCACCACACGAACACGACTACGATGGTGATGGTGAGCCGGAGCGTCCGCTGCCGGGCACGTTCGATGTGCGTCAGGTCGTTGCAACGGAGCCTCATCCCTCCGGTGTGGCTCGTATCGCTCGTCTCTGCATGAACCGGATGTGCATAACGAGAGAAGGAAGGCAACATATTAGAGACATTAATTATTTGCATGTCAATGGTTCGCCAGCAGCCTGCTGATATTCAAATTTAGTAAACCACAAAGCGGATAGAATATGCAGCTGGAATGAAGCTGTTAACCTAATGGGGAACGATTTTCAGGAAACTATCCACAACATGTGGCAAATTACTCACTTCCCACTGGAAAACACATATAAGACTGGAATATTTATTCATTAGATAATACTCTATCAAAGTGAAATATGTTCGTTGACATCAATCCTGCCATCTTGGAAAAAAAGGCTTGATGATGCAGATTTAACAATTTTGCACTGTAAGGTTTAGGATTGAAATTTCAAAATGCTTCCATTTCTCAAAAAAAATCGTTAAGGCTACTCAATAGACGTATTTTATTAAATATTCGAAGTTTTTCAAAATATTTGATAAAAGTGTTTCTATTAGGTAAATTTCGACTTTTCTTCCCCCCACAGTTACACTTAAAATAATTTAAATACTTCATTTGAAAACTATAAGCATTTCAAAATTTCTCCCGCATACCTTGCCATGTAACATTTTGAAATCTGCATAATCAAGCCTTTTTTTCCAAGATGGCGGGTTCTAGAGGCAATGCTGGAAATTGTAGCCGTCACTGCATAAATTTGGGCTACTATGACGACCATTGCAACCACAAACGAAGTGACAGACGACTAACTGGCGAAGAAATCCATTAAAATAATGTGGTTCACTGTAATAGAATTTTCTTGGAAGCTTGTGCCATCATCCACCAGATGGGTTAGTTTTTTTGTTTTGATTTGAACAAAGTTGATTTTGCGTACAATGATTCTTTGACAGTGTGCAAAGAGTGTATCATTTTGTCATTTTTTTATGCATTTCAGTTTTGAGTAGAGTGAAAGAGATAGAACCAAAACATTCTAATGCATTTGGTGAAAATGCTAGTACAATCCAGTAGTAGTGTTGCCATGTGGTACAATCCAGTAGTAGTGGTGTTGCCATGTGGTACACTGAAAAATTAAAATAGCAGCTTAGTCACCAAAGTTTTCGAGCCGCTCCGTCTGTCACTTCGTTTGTGATTGCAACGTCATCCCCAAACGACGTGCGACAAAACAAAAACGGGAACACAAGTGTTTCATTCACTGCTGACAGTCAGTTTTTTTTTGTATTGACGATCAAAGCATGTTGCTAGTCACTATAATCGTCAAGACAAGAAATGCCATGTCACTAAGGGTTTTCGTATAGAACACTCATCCTGCTCATTTTATAATACCTAGTGGTTTGGTCTTACAAGATTAACCGTTTGGTTTGAAAACAACCCGAGCAATGCATAAGGTCCTAACTGCATTGATCGATTCTCCTGATGATTTTTTTCTTTGGATCACCAGAGCCATTAAAAATCGTTTCCGGCTATTTTCGACACTCGTTTGATTGAAGAAGCTATCATCTAGCAATTAAGCTTGAGCTTGATTGACCGCCCACGGTTGCTACTCTGTTACTGCCAGATCAGCTGTAATTACACAGAGAACCAATAGACGATGCTTGGGACTAGCAATCATCCTCAATGTGTAAAAACTGGTGATCTTAAATTAGGCAATACCAGCGCCGGCCGCGCCCGAACACAGGTCAAGAAAGGAATTGGAAGGATTGTGTTGACATGGCACCCGCTTTGATGGAAGCCGAGAACACCTCTGCACTTCCACGAGGAATCACTGGGATGTTGGATAAGAGGGTTGGGTTTGCAGCAGGGTTCGTTTTGGTAAACGATAAGCTGAATTGATGTCCTAACGATCATATAACGCGAAGGAGCTTGGGACTAAAACCCACGGTCTTCTGCTCAGTAAGCAAAAACGTTTGCCACTAGGCAGACGAGCACCTTTTTAATCACCGAGTTGTTGTTATTACCATGTATCATATTAATAAATAAAACGATTGAATGTGGATGGGCCTGAGATTAGACTCATGATGTTCTGCTCAGTAAGCAAAAACGGTTGCTCTAAGGCCACCGAGCCCCTCATAATACCATAATACCCCTCGCATAATACCGTTGCTCAAATTTTTGTATCCATTCAAACCCGGAACCAACGACAACAACGAGTTTCGCAAAATACGCGATACACAAGCGATTTTACCATAAATCTCTTTGATATGTAAGGACCTGGGACCGCGTTTTTCTGCTCAGTAAGCAGGCCACTGTAACCGACGATCTTTCAAATCCGAAAACTAAAAACTACGAAAAAGTACTTAGGCCTTCATTAAGTTCCACTTTCACGCGACGTTCAATGACAGGGTCCTATCCAGGATTACATCTGAAAAATCCAAATCTGGCCAACGCCCACCTAAACCTGTTCTAATCCACCTGAAATGACTAACGAATAGAAGACTTTGACTACCCAGCCATGCAATAGTCTCATTCCGTGCCTTATGGCAACTTGATGATTCTATTGCGCTCATCTTTTGGCACCACCCAGGAGAGACTTGGTCCTGTACCCAATGCTTAACTTATCACCATTCCACTCAGCTACTCGCAATTTCTTGTGATATAGTGGGCGGAATATTATTATATGAGACAATTCAATGCAGACGTCTTTCCAAATTTGGCAGATCGACAGGTAATCGGTGAGTTACCACGATAGTTGCTATTCTACAACTCGACAGCGTCCCATCGTCAACGCCTGCTATGAGAATTTTCCATTGCAGACGTCAACGAAATGACGTCATCGAGCTATCGATCAACTACCCTGGTTATCGCCTGGTTCCTTATAGCACGATGCTAGGAGGCGAACCGGAAGAATCGATGAGCTACCTCTCCCCCTGAAGAAGCTATCATCTAGCAATTAACACGACAAACACAGCCAGAGACGTTTTTATAGCCAAGTTATTAACGAGAGATCAATGTAGTCGGCGCCGGTGGTGTAGCGGTAAGCGTGACTGCTTTCTAACACCCCAATGGGTCTGGGTTCAATCCCAGCCGAGGTCGGTAGGATTTTTCTGAGGCATAAAAATCTCTGGTCACGTCTTCCTTCGGAAGGGAAGTAAAGCCGTTGGTCCCGGCCCATGTGTCTTGAATGGGTGCGATATCCTACGCAGGTGTGGAAGCTGCCTTCCTGCACATTCGATTGGCACTAGATTGCGGAACAGAGACCGACGTTAAATAAAGGAAAAGAAGAAGAGAGATCAATGTAGATAGGCCCTTATGCATTATTCGGGTTGAAATGTTGTTGAAGTCAGAAAAAATACACCAAAGAATTAAAGCGCGTTTCGATAAGTAATTAATCTGAATGCTTTTCCAAAAATCATCATGATTCTTCAAATATTGTTTTTAGGTCAAATGTATTTTAATTGGAGATCAAAGAGACGCCTCCTTGGCACTAGATTTCCATCGGCTATTAATCGCCAATTGGCAATCGAAACACTTTGGTGATAAGAATATCAGGAATATTCTAACAGCATAGAGGTAACTGTAAGACCAGAAGGTCCCGAAGAAACGTGCTCAACTTTTTGGCTCAGCTCTGGTACTATCTTCGGTCCCAAGCTAATCGATTCACCCCTCGAAACATAGGAAAATCCACTAATCCCTAATTTCATCTGTCAAACTTTCATAGCGAATCAAAACAAACATTGCGTAGTACTAGAATTTCGACTAGAATGGGGCACGTTAATTGTTTGCTTAGGACCAATAGGCTAGTCAAGTAGTGAGCCAATTTAAAAAAGTTAGTTTCGTATTGATTGTTGCTAACAGGAACCCACATGAACAAAGTCCTAACGTAACGGGTGTTCAATAAAAAATGAGAATGATTTCAGTGCCGTCCAGCGCTCTTGTGAGAGCATCGCGACTAAGTTGCGTCGTACGGCTGACCAGGGACCCTTCTCCAATATTCATTGACGTTTTTTTGAAGAATAAACATTATGTTTTTAATAAAAAATACTGAATCCGTTGAAAAAAAAAATTTTTTTACTAGCTATATGACTGAAATTTTTTTCATTTTATATTGAAGACCCGTTAGTACAAATTACTTGAAAAGATTGGCCAAGTATGTTGCTTTGACGTACACTCTTATTTTTTTGCGAATCTCGGCAAAAGTGACGTTTGGTTGCTGAGTCAAGGAAAATGCTTTGCTAAACTCAGCAAACAACGTCATGTTTGCTGAGATCTCAGTAGAATAGATTGCCGAGTACTCGGTTGTGCGAATCTCGGCATATTTTTTCTTTCGCTGTACTGTCATTTTTCTACTAGTGAGTGTGCATGATTACTGTTGTAATCATAGAGGTCCCAGTCAGAGACGTTGATAGAGACGCGCTAAGAAAATTTCTGCGAAAAAAAACGGCACGGTTTTTGAGGGATCTTTTGGCAATGTCACTGGCAACCATGTTTCTTCGAGCGACTCCAAATAACTTTCATAGAGTGCCGCAATGCTGTTGAGAAAATTTGTACGTTCGACCGGAACTGAATAAAGCGTTTCGTTACCTTTAGGCTGAGAATCCATAAGCCGTACAAAAATCGATCAAGTATGCCAGTCGTTCCATGGCAGTATAGCCATAGAGCTAACTCTAAGACCACTGGGTCCCGAAGAAAATCATTATTATTTTTGGCTCACTCAGTACCAGAACAACGGTCCCAAGCAGTCCCAAGCTATTTCACTCACCCCTGCATGTTCTGCATGAATCCACACACCCCTGATGTTATCTGTCAAACTTTCATAGCGAATCAAAACAAACATAGTGTAGTAATAGAATTTCAACTAGAATAGGGAACGTTAATCGTTTGCTTGGGACCAATAGGCTACTAAAGTGGTGAGCCAATTTAAAATCGTTAGTTTCGTATTGATTGTTGGTATAGCTTTTGTCATATTTTACTGTTTTGCACAGCAAAATCATTTTTATTACCATAAAACTAAATGAAACGTTCCGATTCGAAATAGTTTTTAGTCACTAATAAATGTTGTATTTATTTGAATCAACAATAAATAAATAT